TATATATATATATATATATATATAAGTGGTTGTATTTTTCCCGTTGTACCAGCCGGAATTGTTAGAAAATAGATATCTGTTGCAGAATCTGGTCTACTTTCGGCAATTATGTTAGGACAATGTCCACCCCAAGAATCTAATAGTAATACGGATTGTGCCCCGACGTTCGGAAAGAAAACTTCTCTCAACCAGGTTTTTACATGATTTGATGTTAATTTACCTGACTTACGAAGCCATTACATAAATGTTAGGAGCGTTAAATAATGATTGCTGCATGCACTCGTGGACCAAACGTTCCTGTGGATTCTTTTAATACGATCAAAACAGGCGACAATAATCTACCATCAGCAAAAATGGTTTGTTTACATGTTTACATATTTATGTGAATATTTTATACATTCGTCTCCCTATTATCAAATATAACGTAAATAATGCGTTTATAATTGCGTTTTGATTTATTAATTTCTTTTAGATTCATTGTATATCTGATATTAAGAGACAGAAGAGAAGAAAACGTCAAAAATAAGAAAACATAATATTAATTATAAAGTATGTTTTATTTTTTATATAATCACAGTTTTATATCACAATTTTATATAATCACAGGTAGAGACAAATATTTATTTTCAATCTGTTCCAGAATGATGTCATTTAATCCATGGAATGTCATACTGTTACTGTATGCAACATTCTTTGCTTTAGACCTTCCACAAAGTCCGATAATTTCAGAGGAAATAGAAGTGAAGGAGAAGGTTGAATACATACTGAAAGAAATTGGAAATGATAACGAATTTGAAATAGAAGAGGAGCAAATACTAGATTTTTATGATCCAAATGAAATCCCACATGCAGAAATAATTGATTTGTTAGATCATGTTGAAGATGAGAATTATCTTCCAGAAGAAGTTATTTGTACTTCTGTTGAAGCATATCAAACAACTACAAAAGGCAAGCTGTGGAATACTGGAGAAGCGGTAAAACAAAACCAAGATCATTGGAATCGGTTAAAAACAATTATAAACAAGTAACATCGCTACGACAATTACGACGATGGGAGAAGTATATCAATGCAGGTACCAGAAAAGAAAAATTACAAAAAATTTCTGAATATATATTAAACAATTTCAATGAAGTGCTCCAAATATGAATTTCAATGAAGTGCTCCAAATAGGAATGATAATTTATGATATTGACATTGATGGGCTTTTCGAGCACAACAAGAGATAAATGCGCCAGGATTCATAGCGTCATATATGTGGATCTTTGTTATCAAAATCAGATTTGGAAAATAAGTGCGAAACATTTATAAGAAATGTAAAATATTTTATTAATCAATATGGAGTAGAAAATATTTATAATTCAGATCAGAGTAGATTCCAATTAGAACTTCACGTTGGTACTTTAGCAAATAAATGTGAAAAACAATAAAATCTGCAGTATAGTCTGTATCAGCAACCACGCATAGTTACACAATACAGCCGACTATTTCTGCTGATGGTAGATTATTGTCGCCTCTTTTGATCGTATTAAAAGAATCCACAGGAACGTTTAGTCCACAAGTGCAATCATCATTTAACGCTCTTAACATTTATGTAATGGCTTCAAAGTCAGGTAAATTAACATCAAATCATATAAAAACCTGGTTGAGAGAAGTTTTCTTGCCGAACGTTGGGCCACATTCGTATTACTATTAGATTCTTGGAGTGGACATTGTCCCAACATAATTGCCGAAAGTAGATCAGATTCTGCAAGAGATATCTATTTTCTAACAATTCCGGCTGGTACAACGGGAAAAATACAACCATTAGATGTATATGGCCCGCTTGTGGAAGAATACAACCATTAGATGTATATGGCCCGCTTATGGAAAAATTTTATCAAATATTTCTCTGATAATGTTATGTTACACGATCTTGCAATTGATTTTCATAATAGGAATAATGCCTTGAAATTAACACACCATCCATTAACATACCATAATTCTCGTCACCCAGGTTTCAAAATTTATTTAAATTTGAATGGTTTAAAAGTGGATATCTACAGACCGCCAGAGTTCAAGACACCGGTTGATTTTTGTTTCAAAAAAGATCTTAAAGTACAATGCGATGTTTGTGGCGAAAATGCTATAATTACTTGTTCATGGTGCAAACGATCATTTTGCATCACACTTTTTTCCATGAGCACTACCTTTGTTATGAATATGTGCCATAAGTAAAATATATTTATTTTCTGTGAGTGAAAATCCTCTATCAATTTTTCTTAATATTATATTAATTATATGATTTTAATATATTATAATAATATTATAAATTGTAAACATTATACATTAAATATATGCAACTGTCTATGTATTATTTTTCTACAATTCATTACATTCCCCTACTTACAATAACGTATCTAGCTACCGTATCCATCTACTTGGACGGCGTGATGCGTATAGCACGATATTATCACGATGTTTTCTAATAATTTAATCGAGACCACCTTCTAATATTATATATGGATCGATTTGGCATGAAATGCTCTACAATTTTTGTCCTTACAAAAACTTACTTTTTTTTGCAAAAGTAACGAGTTGAGGGGGAGGTAAAAAATTTGGCGTTTTTGAAAAAGTTAAATATACTGTTGCAAAGAGTGTTAAATACTGTACAACTTTTGTAGGAAACATTTTTTCATATACCTTGTATTTTAGAAAATATTCAATAAAAATGAAAAAGTCCTTTTTTTCAAGGGGCTGTTTCAATCGTTAAACTTAACATTCAACCGATAAAAAAAGATACGCGTCGAATACTTTTTGATGCTCTATAACATATCCAAAGCGCATCAAAATCGGTGAGGGACAGTTCTGTTAGTTCTCTTATGAGACATGAATCTATTCAATAATGAACACATGGTATGGTTATATATAAATGCCTATACAGTTAAAAAAGCAATCTGTGTACTGTAGATAAAGATTTGGTTAGACCTAACATAGCAACTTTCTAATGGCGCTAGAAAAAAATGGTCCATTTTTTTACACTTTTTGTTAAAGATTTTTGATCAGTTCCTCATAAGCTACAAAATATAGTGTCAGTCAATTCGACTGAAACCACTTTTTTTATATGATTAGTGCGGGGTCCTTTTTGTTGGACATTTTTCCTCGAAGATTGTCAAAAATGAGCTTTCCTGCACTGAACAGTCTTTCGACGTCTCGCGACATCTTTATGGCTTGATTAACAATGTCAGACATATTAATAGAATAGCTCGATACAAATATACACATATCAATACATACCCATATTACACTCCCCTCCCGCACCACACACATACATTGAGACATGAATCTATTCAATAATGAACACACGTATGGTTATATATAAATGCCTATACTTCAAGATAATTGAATTAAAAGTTAATAGTTATCGATAAAATGTAACTAAATTAAGTTAAAAGTTAAGAGTGTAAAAATGTAACTAAGTTAAGTTAAAGCCATTTAACTTTTTAACTTAACTTTTAACTTTTTAACTAGTTACTACCCAACCCTGCATCAGATAAACCGATCAAAAAATTATGAATCGATATTTTTTATTGGATGTTTCCTAATCGGATACAAAAATTCATCGGTATTCATCGGATTGGAAATATCCGCTTGTTAATTTTTTATCGAATCATTTCTCTCAATACATTCCAGCGTCAACGAAGGAGACAAAGTAGAAGACATTTTGAAGAGGAAAGCGTGGGAAACCGTAGGTCAGCTTTCGGCTTATCCAAGGGTCTGATTTATCTTTTTGTTAGCTGGTTTCACTTCCTTTGTGCCTTTTCTTGACATCTTAAAATGCCGAACAAAGTTTTTTTCCCGAAATAATCTTTACAACACTGCAAAACATATATATGGAAATCGACTTATTTTGACAGGAGATTAGTTATGAGACGTGGTACGGAATATAATAGAATAAGTACTATTATACTTAAAATATTACAAAAATCACGAGCTATTGTATATAGCTATTCTATTAATATGTCTGACATTATTAATCAAGCCATAAAGATGTCGCAAGACGTCGAAAGGCTGTTCAGTGCAGGAGAGCTCATTTTTGACAATCTTCGAGGAAAAATGTCCAACAAAAAGGACCCCGCACTAATTATATAAAAAAAGTGGTTTCAGTCGAATTGACTGACACTATATTTTGTAGCTTATGAGGAACTGATCAAAAAGACAATTTTCACACTTCCGTAATTTATTATGTGTAATATGTAAGCACTACAGTCAGTAATAACGCCGTGATTCGGACGACAAAATTTAGGTGGCTGTTTATACACATACACACATATATACACATATACATATATAATTCGCTTTACGATACGGTAACTACGATGAACGAAGTTCTTATTCTTACTATTGGTCCTTAAATGTGGTATGATATGATACTTTGTTGGCTTTGATATATTGACTGCCATTGTATTTCAAATCTTCTGGAAATATTGGTTAACGTAGGTTTTAATGTTTAAAGTAGAATAATTCCGTGAAAGAGGAAACCAATATCTCTCATCCGCGACGGCGAAGCCGTTGGCAGTACCGCGGGATCGCGCACGAAAATGATGCGATTATTAACATCCGTCGCAAATCGATACGGCCGTAGCCTTGACCGGTCGCAAGAACACTCGGTGCACACCGGCCAGGTTTCTTTCGCCGTGCTATCCGTCCGCCATGCGCGTATATCGACAGCTATCGACGCATATTGACATACCGGATATATGCTCAAGCAGCCGCTCACTCCTGACATTTCGTGACGGTTTGACATCGGTAACGATAAAAAAGAACCAGCCTACGTGCCGAGTGCAATGCTTTACGTATGTATTCGCTTCGATTGCAGCATCTCAGACAACCGATATGTCTCTCTCGGGATCTGTCTCTCTTCTCGCAACACCCGGTCGCTCGGATACGTAAATATTCTTTATTAAAGAAAAGAATGACCTGCCTGTGAAAGGAGAAGTCTCTTTGGCTACTTATTATATCGATAAAAGATCTCGCGAATTGCCGAGTGTGTCGTAGGCAACCGAAGAGCAACTATTTGAGTACAGGGTCGCTCAATACGTAGGCGCCAGGCGTCCGGACGCCTACACTGCGGATTTTCCACCTCACTGTTTCCACCAGCCCCTATTCCATCCATGACCGATCGTACATGTGGCGACCTTTCGACGCAAAGGCTTTTCTTCCTTTTTCCTAATTTTTCTTCGTCTTTTTTTTCCTTGTTTTTTCTTCGGCAACTCATTTGCCATTCTGTTCGCTCGCGAGTGGTACACTGCGGCAAGCAGATTTTCTAATGTACAGTTCAAAGGGAGAGAGTCCGATCGATCTCGTTCACTGACATTTCCCGGGTTCGTGGACTCTATTGTTTTATAGGCGGCAAACATGCTGCGAATCGGTGCCAGTGGGAGGTATGTGTTGCGGAAATATCGCACCGTCGTCTGTGCCTCTTTTTCAACAAAAAAGGAGAAATTATTACAAACCAGCACTCATTTTGAGAGCAGTAACAATTGCAAGTATGATGTTTTATATTTAATACTGTAAATAATATTAATAGTATTAATTATAAATTACTATACATGTTTAAATATTAAATATAAATATACACAATATTACTGTGTTAAATTACTGTTCTAAATTACTGAATGTGTTCAATACTAAATTATTCATTATTAAATTATAGTAATACATTTATACTCAAGGGGAAGTTCCGATATAAAGTCCGAAAACATAGATCATTTCCAAGAATTAAAAAAAAACTGAGAGACAAGTAATTTAAGGAGTTTCGGTATTTTATTATTGTGGTGCCTTAGAGAGAGACTATAGAAATTTATATTTTTTTCTTTAATTTAACAAAATAGTGTTGATGAGTTCTTCAAATAGAAGATTTGCAAAAATTTACTAAAATGGTGGGTTCCTAAATTCTTGGTCAAAAACAAAAAGCGATTTCTGGCTATTGTTTGTTTACTAAGTACCAGTTGTCTTTGGGCTAGTTTACACCAAAAAATTTAATATATGTACTAAATATGTACACAGCATAAATATCTAAAATACATTCTAGAGAAGGTATTTAAATGTTTCTTGGATATATTTTGGACATTTGTTCAAGCTAAATGATTATTTAATACATATATCAAATGTTTAGTATAAACTTGCCTAATAACAGACTAGTACCAAACGATCGCTAAAAATCATCTAAAAATAAATGCCGAATCATTAAAGGGTATGGCCACAGTAGCAGGCCTGAAAACATCAATAAATTTAATAATTTTTTTCAGTATAAAAAAATAATTTAATATAAAATCGAATTGAAGCACTGTTTACGAAGATCTTAAGGTACTTAAAAAAAATTTTTTTATATTTTTGGAGACGCTCCGAGGCCTGATATCCAGCGTCTACATATTTTGATCTACACGGAAAAAAAGGTTTGGTTGAATTAACTAAATATCTGGTCGAATATGAACGATCCAGAAATTCCGATTGAAATAACCCGAATTCTGTTTAAGTTAACAAGATTTTTGGTTGACTGAAACAGAATTCGGGTTACTTCAATTGGAATTTCTGGATTGTTCATATTCGACCAGATTAGAACAAAAAGATTTTTTCTTTTTAATCTACATTAAAATGCCTAGGGAAGTACTTAGGGGTTTTTGAAAATATTGATTTTTTAAAAAATAGCAGGCATTCGAAGTCAGTTGTATTTTTTGCTAAAAAATAAAAAGTTTTTTATATATCGGAAAACCTTTACGTACTTTTCTGCGGAATATATCTAAGAAGTTGCTGCTAAAATTTGAAGTTATTCGAATAAAAATTATTGAAATTATGTATTAGGCCAATTTGAAAAACGTTGTTTTGAGAAAAACGCGTTTAAAGTTTTAAATGCTGTATTTTGCTCTTAAATTTAAAAATTGTGACTTTATCATTTTTTATCATTACTCTGCAATGCCAGCACCATAGATCTGCTTTTCTGTGGCAAGAGAATCTTCGACTAAGAATCGACTAAGAGCAGACTAGGTATAGGCTATGCTAGGTCTATATCTCGGCTTTATTGTTTACACATCGAGTTTCGTCTACGATCGCCACTACTCGTAACTAAGTCAAACAAAAACGACTTTATACCTGCGCGCTATACTTAAATGGTCCGTTTTGAATAACAGCACTCCACAGCTCCCTGAATAACACTCCACTCAAATGTTCACAAATTTAAATTTTTCGAATTTAAAGAAATCCATTTATTTATTCGTAAAAAATTGAAGATTCAGGGAATTAAAAAATGAAGAAAAATTGAAATTTTGAAATTTCCAGGCCGTAACCTCTTAATGTAAAGGCTGTTAAACTTATTACTCTTATATAACTACGAGAATATATAGTATATTATTGTTTATATTAATTTATAATTCGTTTAGAAAATAACGACATGTATTTAGATATTATCTACAAATTAATTTTTAATACATAATTATTTTCTAACGATAAGAAATTTAGAAAGGAAGAATTACACAAATTATAGATATTTAAACAATTGCTGAAATTTGACATATCACTATACTAAGAACACCATCATTGCCCGCTGTAATCTGTTCATCTTTACGTAACCGAGCGCGGTCCTGTTACGACGTAAAAATGTCAGAGAGTGTTGATTGTCATCAATTATGTCAGTTCAATACTTCTAATTTCTGAACTTCAACCGAGCGCATTAGCGATGTACTTTGATATTATCGACGACGTAAGGAGGATAAGATATATAATCATTATAGATAGTCAACATCTGCAGGACGATTAAGGGGTACAGTCACGATAGAATTTTCAAAAAAGCAAAAATTGTTTTTTTGGTTTAAACGGTATTTTCATAAAAATAACTTGCAATTCGATTTATTACAAAAAAAAATTTTTTAACAAAGTTAGAGCGAACATTGTAAGGTACGATACAGCGCCGCCAAGCGTATCGGAGCACGCCGCGGCGCGAATTGAGCAAAGATAAACTGCTTACTCGTTGTTTAGGGAGTTCGAGCGGTAAAAAGATCTTGGATATACACTGAGAAAAAAATTTAGTCAATTTGAAAAAAATTAATTTGTTTTGAATAAATAATTTTCTAAAATGGTACCAATGACGTATTTATTTGAATTAAAAAGAAATATTAATCAGGTTGAAAAATTTTTTGCTGAAAAATAATGAATTATTGATTAGATTAAAAATATATTTAGTGAAATGTAAAAAATAATTATTAAGAATATATTATTAAGAATATATATTAAGAATAATTATTTAAGAATTTTATTTAATGTAAATATTGTCTTGAAGAATGTCAAATGAAGAAATTATTTACCAAATTTGAAGAAATATTTGTTTAATGTAGAGAAACCAGAAGTTAAAACATAACACACACTTGTAAAAATAAAAAAAATATTTACTGAATTTAAATTAAAATAGATTCCTGAAAACCTTATTCATTTATTTCAAATGGACTAAAGCGTTACTTATAATAAAGCATCCAATTATTAAAATGAGAAAACATGACTTCCTTTCAAATTAAAATTTATTCCGCTAGAAATAAAAATAGGATTGCTTTCAATAAATATTTTTAAAACCAATGAATTATTTATTAGATTTGATATACATAAAAGGAATTGTAAAAAATATTTATTTATTTAATTATTTTATATATTATTTTTAAATTGCATGACTAAAATTGAGTAACTATTTATCAAATTTGAATAAAAAATGGTTTACTTTAAAGAATTTTTCTTTATTCTTCTTTCTTGAACGATTCTTTAAATTCTTTAGAAATTCGTGTAAGAGTAATACTTAAGGACGACTAAGTTGCTTCCAATGTTACATCACATTTAAAATTTTTACCATTTGAAAATTATTACTGGCACTGGTGGGACTCGAACTTGGACCCGTGAGGCACCTCTGGATTATGAGTCTGTTGCTTTAGACACTATACTACTTCTTCGATCAATATAAACGTTTTACATTTTGTCTATATGTGTTGTAATGTGTTGTAAAGTAAATTAATATTTAGTTTAAAAAAATATTTGTTTAAAGCTATTTCCTGAATTTAAATATATTAGATTTTTTATTTGTTAAGAATAAATTATTCAATTTGAACAACGGTTGTCTCAATAACATTTATCCGTTATTTGCTTTAAAATTATTTCACGTTGGATAAAATATTTCTTCAATTTTATTATATATATTTTTGATGATTATATTTTTGAAAATGAATTATTGCATATTACAATTTAATAAATAACCTCTTATTGTAACTAAAATATATTTGAATAAATATATTTATTTAGATTGAATAAATTTTTTTTTCAGTGTAGCTACCGATTTAGCTCTGTGCGTCTTCAACAATGACTTGAACAGTATCATAGAAGTTATGAAAGTTTTGGACATCACAATAGGTCCTCATTCTTACAATTTCTGCGTCGAGGAATTGCGCGTAACGCATGCCGAGAGCTTGCTATTAGACGCAGCAATGGAGACGCACTCGAGCTCAAAATTCTCCAGAAAAGAAGAACAGAAAGAAAATCTTGCTACAGATGGACAGCTCTATAGTGCTGACATTGCGGAATAATGGTAAAAAAATTTTAAAGTCACAATTTTTAAGTTTAAAAGCAAAAAGACAGCACTTTAAAAGACTAAAACTTTAAACGTGTTTTTCTCAAAACAATGTTTTTTTCAAATTGGCCTGACACATAATTTCAATAATTTTTATTCGAATAACTTGAAATTTTAGCAGCAACTTCTTAAATACATTCTGCAGAGAAGTACGTAGGGATTTTCCGATATAAAAAACTTTTATTTTATGGACAATTTTTCACGAAATTTTTTAGCAAAAATGTAACTATGACTTCAAATGCCTGCTATTTAAGAAAAAAAAAAAAAAATATTTTCAAAAACCCCTACGTTCTTCTCTAAGTATTTTAATGTAGATTAAAAAGAAAATTTTTTTTGTTCTAGGTCAAAGTATGTGGACGCTAGATGTCAGACCTCGAAGCATCTCCAAAAAAACATATTAGGTTCCGTTAGCGGTAGCGCTGCCACTTTGGATCGAAAAATACAAAAAAAAGTTTTTTAAGTACCTTAAGATATGTCGTAAATAGTGCTTTAATTCGATTTTATATTAAATTATTTTTTTATACTAAAAAAAATTGTTAAATTTATTAATGTTTTTAAGCCTGCTACTGTAGCCATACCCCTTAATTTGAACGTTAAACTCATTTTCTGAAGAGAAAATGTCTCTTCCAAGCGACAAATAACATAGTTCAATTGTTTTACTAACTTTCTATCTTTACCGGAATATACAGAGTGTCCCATTTTAAATGTCCCAGGCAAAAATCTCGAAAAATATGGAAGATACGGAAATATTTCGAACAAAAATTATATAGTTTGATGGAGGATATAAGAAGGTACTATTGGTTTGACCTTGCGTGGCGCCGCCAAGGTCAAGTCAAGGTCAACTTTTTTAAATAGAAATATAAATTTTTTATTACGGAATTTTATTCTACGTAACTACGTATTCTACATAAGAAACAAACAACTTTTGTTTGAAAACATTTTTATACGACTTCTATTTTCTAAGATATTTACGGAAATATCTACAAAATTATTAGTTTCAATAATTTTTTACTCGAATTCTACTAACTCTACCGATAAACACCAAGAGATAAAAATTATTATTTTCTTCTCGTAAAGCTCTGAGAATTTTTTTAGGATTTTTTAATTAACTTTTTAGTACTTCAAGAAAATGCAAAAAAAATACAGTATTAAAAAGTTAATTTAAAAATTCTGAAAAAATTCTCAAAGTTTCATGAGAAGAAAATAGATAATTTTTATTTTTCGTTAATTTTTCGGTAAAGTTGATAGAGTTCGAGTAAAAAATTATTGAAATCGATAATTTTATAGATATTTCCGTAAATATCTTAGAAAATAGAGGTCGCATAAAAAAATTTTTCAAACAAAAGTTGTTTATTTCTTTACGTAGAATAAAATTCTGTAATAAAAAATATATGTTTATGTTTAAAAAAGCAAAGTTGACTTTGATCTGACTTTGGCGGCGCAACGCAAGATCAAACTAATGATACCTTCTTATATCCTCCATCGAACCATATAACTTTTGTCTGAAACATTTTTCCGTGTCTTCCATATTTTTCGAGATTTTTGTCTGGAACATTTAAAATGGGACACTCTGTATATCGTGGCAGTCGACGAATTATAACAGATCCTTTTCATCCTCAGTGGTACATTATCCTCTCTTTGTATATTATCTCATCTCGTGTATTTTCGACGCTGTTACTCGCGGACTATACACGCTGCGCACATATTTCCCGGTGCATGTGTGTGTCTTTTTAATTACTGCTTTCTTGCATGAAGAGCGTGGCCCAGAGAAATGATCAAAAGCTCGCTTTATTTCCGCTCGCACGTGCAGCCAGGTGGGTATCATCATTTCGGTCAAGGTTCTGTTCGGCTAACAAAGGTACAGTTGACGAAACGCGATCGATGTCGCTGTATGTTGGCGTAACACGCATTTCGTGCACGGCATTTCGTACCTCCTCTCCTCGTACTTCCGCGAGCGATATTGTCAGATTATCCCCGGCGCTGTGTTAATACGCTCATAATACACGCTGTGGGAGGAGTGCACCACGTTTATACGCCAGCCGCTGCACGCCAAAACAACGTTAGAGAAAAACGATATTTTATCAGCGCTACTGTGTGTTTGCTACTTCTCTCTCTCTTTCTCTCCTCCTTCTCTTTTTCTCTTTCTGCTTCTGTCCCTCTCTCACGTTCCATAAAAACATAACTGCAGTTTGATTATGGTGCATTATATGTATCTAGAGGAAAGTATAAAAAAGAATACGCACGCGGCGAAATTCTGTGAAAGAAATAGATTTCTTTGTTTCGCAGATTCCCCTGTGTTGCATCGATGTTCCGTATCTAGAATGGACATTCTCTCTGATCAAACTTGAACTCGGAAAACACGATTATCTGCAGCAGCGAACTGCTATCGACATGTTCACGACAATGGCCTACAGTAGGATGTTGTTATCTGCGAGAATACAATGGCAATCGACCAGTGCCATTGATTCAATTTTCATTATTGTGCGCCGGGAGCAGATATTTCCGCGCTAATTGGTCTAAAAACTCAACCACATATAGATGTGAATATCTAGGTCAAATTAGTGAGCGAAATAATTGGAAAGTTCAGTCCTCGCAACTATGACGTTTCACGCGTATCTCTCTGTAAATTATGACGCGAACTGACTGCTCAACTTGGATTGTAATGTGAATTTAATTACTCAATTGATTAATAAATCGTTTTCATCATTGGTCGCCCTAAAAGTACAGTTATCATACCGTTAGGGCACCGATATGCATTGAAAATACAAGAACTCTTTAACTCTTGGTAAAACCACTATCAATTGTCTGTCTCGAAAACATGTCTATACGTTTTCTCTCAAGAGAAAAATGCAGTTAAAAATAATTTGAATCGCGCCAGAAGAATTTATTCATCCAAGGAAAGTCAGATTGATTGTTACACGGTAAAGACAGAAATACATTACTCTTCATCGAAAAATTGGATTAATCAAATTTCTGATAAAACATGAATGCACTAGAAATTTCCATTGAATTTATCAAGATTCTGTTCGACTTGACAAGATTTCTGATCAGCAGAATCCCACAATAATCTCAACAGTAACCTCGACCGGAATTTTCTGTTTCGTTCATATTTCACCATAAGTTTGGTTAATTCAATCAAATGTTTTTTTCTATGCACAAACAAATAAATTTCGATCGTTTCTTTTGTTCTTATCTGTTTCACTCGAGATCGATTTGGATTGCGATCTTCAACGTATTCAAATTGGAGTAATTTGTCGAATTGCCAAAATGCCCAAAAATGCCTGGCTATCGGTCACATCTACCGATGAAACCGGGAGCTGCGCGAAGGCGCGCGATCGTGACAGGGCCAAGTTGGGATCAGGGCGACAGTCCCGGAAGAAAGCCGGTGATGAGGAAGGCCGGGAAGCGAGCTAACGGATATTATGGAGAAATTCCCATAATTTCGAGAGAAAGACAACGCGGCAGGAAGAAGAGGCGCTAACAAGCCCCGACCGTCCGTAATGATCAACTTTAGTGGCTTTGAGACGGTCGGCGAACAGGTGCGCGCCGTTTTCTTCGTTCTTCTTGCGCCACCGGCGCTGTGTAATGTATTCAAGGCCGCTAAGGCTTATTCATAAATCAGATCTCACTTTCATTCATACGTCTGACGCGACACCACTTATCGCTCCCCATTTGACCGATCGATTTGGATTTTCGGCCCGTCTTGCGGGGCATTGCGAGCGCTGCGTCACGTGCTCGGCACGCTTAATTGGAACGTGATTGGGAATTTCTGCCGAGTGAAATAGTGCATTACACTGAAAGCCAAATTGGACGAGATGTGTGATTAAAAACAGGATATTCCTCGGCGTTACAATGTGGATCACACTCGTGGTTTGTTGCACTCAACGTACCTACGAGATTTCACATCGCTCGGTCGCCCGTGCGTTGTGTCCAAGTTCAAAGCTCCAGTTACGCAGCATCCGTAACGTGTGTGACGCGTTTTACGGGAAATACAGTTCACCATTTACATAATCTGTGGTCGCGAGCGCGACCCCTAGTGGTGTAACATTGTACCGTTTCGTGGGCAGGCGGCTTTCGGCACTGAACGGCGCGTTCTACACCTACGACAGATTGCGTAAATCCTTAAAGTTAGTACGCAGGACCGGACTCACTTTCAGCGTGTCAAGGACACCAGCGACAGGTCCTCTCGGCCTAATTCTCCATGATGAGCGGTCGCATTAAATCTTGCTAATGCGCGACCGAACGATCAATTACGATACAATTCTTTTCTCTGATACAGAGAGAGAGAGAGAGAGAGAGAGAGAGAGAGAGACATGTATGCATTACTCATAAATTCGTCCCTGATCTAAGACCAGAACCTGACAGTCGATATAATTGCTGAAATCATCTTTTGAGGAACTCAAGATGTTTCTCTCAAGAGAGAAGTGCAGTGGGAAGTAATCCGGGGAATAATGCCAAACGCTGGAGCTTTGCTTAGCCACAGAAAGTTGAGCGTGTTGCTACACGGCGAAGGCAGGAATACATTGTCGAAAGAGCAAATAAATTTCTATCGCTGCTCTGGTGTGCGCGAACGCACAATAACCGAAGTCATACATATTTCATCAGGACCATCCGTGACGTCAGCTTGCACAACGCTCACCGATGGGAAGACCGAGCGATTTTCGTGCCTCTCAGGAAAGCACGCGAGAATAGACGCGTTGTCCTTGACACGGCGCGAGCGTTGTGCTCGATCCGTCCGAAGAATTTTATTCTTCGGGCGCCGAAAGTGAAACACGCGGGGACTGACGGCTTGGCCTATCGTCGCCGACGTGACTCGAAATCCTCCGGTTAATCTGGCGCATGTCGTTCGTGCCGTTTCGCGACTTCGTGTTATCGTCCTCTCTTTGCGCGACATTCAACTGCAAAACTGCTAACAATTTGCGCCAAAATCCCGACGATGAGAAAAAACTCCCTGTGCAAAGTGAGTGAAATGTACAGAGTCTATTTTTCTTATTTGATCACACTTGTGTTAATTTTCGAGGAAGTTGAATATAAAGAAGAGTATACTTCGATGCTACTTTTGCCCGTAATGGCTTGTTAAAGAACAAGTGAGGCGCTGCATGTAACGTTAAAACGTCAGAAGTGTCTGACATTTAATTTGACGGATAATCGATGGAAGCGATACGACGTAATGGTCTCATGTGTCGCTGATGCGAATGGTCTGAAATTGCGTGTCCTAAAACGGAACGAAATGTCGAAGCGTAATACGACTGGCCGGAATTACGACACCGAGGAATCACAAAAGCGGTTCTACACTCGGGCGAGTCTCAGAATGCTGGCTGCGGACCAACATCGCGACACCAGTCCATGCTTCTTTCTTTCTTAATGCATACATCACTGTGTTCCGAAACAGTAACATTACCGACTGTTGTACAAAGTCCGAAGTGCGACCGCTAACATAATGGAACGTTATCGCACTTGGTCTATGATAATCACGGCCTAGATTCATGAAGAACTTCACGTATCGCTTCGTTTTGTACTTCGTGACGGAATAATCTCAGGTTTCCGCGCCTTATACTTCTCTGTGTCCATCCCGCCCTTTCCCCCACCGCCGATTATTAAAATATCTGATGTGAGTAATTTCAATATTGATCTCGAGTAACGGCCGCTGCTCAACAGTTGAAGTGTCGAGGCAGAAAATCGCAAATTCAGAATGGCACTTTCTCCCTTCGATCGTGCACTCGTCGCAGGACCAGCCTCGGCTCTTTCGAGCTTCTGCGCCGTTTCGCACTCGCAGTGAAACAGAGCTGAGCTGCTATGATGATTTATCAACGCGGCTGGTGCGACAAGGGTATTTCTTACCAAGCCATTTACCGGAATTGCCGAATAAATTTATGCGAGATTCTGCGCAACTATCCTACCTCGCGCATAATTGCCGGTTACGCTCCCGCACAGTTTCGCACTAAGTCGCACATGTTGCGCAATGTCACATACCGCGAAACAGGTTTTTTTTCCCCGCGAGATCTGTAAGGAATAGATACATACTCCTGGCGGTGGTGTTGTATCGCGCGTCCCCGAGCATGTTTTGATAGCGTCGCGCGATATGGATGCGCCAATGAATACTGCACTTTCTACACAATGCTTATTGCATTCAAGTAAGTGTCACTTTTGTTTCAAGCATTTCGTAAGTTTATGCATCCCCAAATCTATCATAAGCTCATTATCAGCATCAAAATGTACACTCTGAATCCTAATAGGGTTTAGCATTTCAATCAAGAATATTGAATCAGAACAAAAAGTCGGTTTGCTCGCTGCATCGAGGCGAACTACAAATTTTCCTTGAACAGAGTTTTATGATACTCTTGTAAAGAGAATTAATTGTTCTTTTGGATACATAGTAACAAGCTTCTATAAGATTTGTGTAATGAAGATATTTTAGAAATATTTTTACTATTATCAAGAATATAATCTTTGTTGAAAATAACAATTACTCAAGAGAAGAAAAGTAAACTTTTCTCAATTAGTACTTAAATAATTGCTTTTCTTAACAGTAGAACGATATTTCTCTGTGTGTAGAAGCAGGGCAATGAGTTTCCTGACAAACATTTCCGGAAATTCTCTTAAAGTTCAGTCGCAGCTGTGTTTTCCCATATAATCGACAAAGTCAAATATTGAACAACGCTTTTTGCTAGCTTTCTCTCTTCTTCACACACGCGCAAACACACACATACACACACACGCGCGCGCGCGCACACACACACACACACACACACACACACATACTCTTTCTCTCTCCCTTTCTCTCTCTCATTCTCTCCTCTTAGACAGCCATCAAAGAGAGGATCTTCACACTTATATTCAGCGAAATCTGCTGATACATCAACAATCATATCGTAGAATGAAATACACTGCGAGTAATTATGTGACGGAAACAGGTGTACAGGTGAAAAGATTACGAGAAACAGGTGAGAAGATTACGAAAAGCTGTGCGTTAAATTAGAAATTTCTCGGGCGTGTATATTTGTCCCGTGGAGTTCATTCAACTCTTTATCCAGATATCCTTCAATGACTTTTTGAATACTTCTTCACGATTAATCGCCCGCGGTTGCCCGGATGATGTGTTTCTTCATCACATCTACGTGTCGTCATCCAATGCCAAAATCATTTCCAAACCACTCGGGCGTGTCGCAACGCGGTTTCTCGGTCTTGAACTCTAATCATGTCCCTTTACTCTTCCTCCTGCTCCGAGCCCGAATCTTCGCGCAGCTTTATTCGAACGGTACTTTTATCGATTAATCGATCGCGTAACAAGCGCGAACGGAGACACGTAATTATTAGGTAACACTAACTGTTGGGCAACGAACAACTAAATTTAAACGCCCTCGTGAGTGTAACCTGAGGAGCTCAGCCGCGCAAAATAAATGTACTTTTCAAGTAAAATGAGAAAGAAGCGGACGAAAAATATTGCACAATAGTCGCAATTATGCTCAACGACTATTCCTCTTTTGTATTCTCTCTCTCTCTCTCTCTCTCTCTCTCTCTCTCTCTCTCTCTCTCTCTCTCTGTTTTTCTTTCTCTCTCTCTCTTGTTCACTACCGCTTTTCTCCACTTTTCTTTTGTATCTTTTCCAATCTCGCGCGTATCGGCTTTTCCGGAGAGAGAAATGAAAAGTTCGCCTCGATTAACACGATTCGCCCTACTTCTAGCTCATTAACAAGCCTTCTTTTACAGTGTCATTTCCGCTCGCGTCTCCCGTTTTCCCGGTCTTTCCTACGCGGCGGTTAATAATAATCCTATTGATATTAATAACAATTAATAGTATTGCGCATGTCACGGTCTGCGAATTCGCCTGGCGAAAATGCGTGACCGCGCGTCGCCTCCCGTCGCCTCTCGTTACGACGTGAGCGTGTCTCGCTAACCGCGGACTCCTGACAATGAACTAGATAACGACGAGCCGCAGTGTGTCTAGGTTAGTAGTGACAACTTTATATCCATCTGACATATAAAGTGAGATTGTCGCGGCAGCGTTTCTCATCGAATGCGTACAGCAAACGTCACTACATCTTATCCTGCGCTGTCGTTATCGCGACTGTGTCCGACGGCTCTGTTTCCCGCTAGATTACGCTCGATGCCGCACGAAGGCAATTACGTTTGGAAAAGGTCATGACCACACGGCGGCTGGAAATTCCCAAACAGGTGTGTAATAATTGAAAAATGAACTTTTTTAAGCCCAAATGTGTACAGCTGTGGGTACAGAGCTGTGTATAGCTGCAGAGGTGTAGATTGTGACATTCACAGGCTTCTGTTATTTTTACTGCTCAACCGATCGGACTTCCTAATCGATGGGAAATATTGACGGGAGAAAAGTAACATTGGACAGAATTAGAAACGCCCGCGTGAGTTTCGAGGTTCATTGCCTCTGGGCTGCTCGCCTCAAGCGCGTTTCATCGAGCATTTTCCATCTTGATACGCATGACGAACGGCGAGCGCGAGCGCCGCTGCGCATCGATGAGCGACGTCATCCTATTTCCAGTATTGCATATTTATCGTTAACGATACGTGGCAATGATCCACATAATCCTTCCATTGAGCCGTCAATCCCCTCCTCATTAACCGTCCTGATGAAAATTGAAATTGCGATTTGCCGGCTTCGGCCGCAAAGGACGAACACCTGCGACCCGATAGATAAACGTCGCTAGACGGTATCCTGTTAAAGAACTCTACGTTCTAATCCTGGAAAACCATTTTCGATCAATTGCTGAAATCATATGTTTGCCTCTTTTTCTGCACATGAGAGAGAGAGAGAGAGAGAGAGAAACAAATGCCAAATGATTCAAACACGCAGTCAATGTCTATGTTCACGGTCATTTCTTTCTCATAGTAGGAGAACGTAAAAATATTTTTACTGAATATTTAAATTAAATCTCGATAATTTACTTTTTTTTATAGCAGGAACATAAAAAATTGTTTAATATGTGCATTATCTTGCAAGAAGACTTATCTTTTTTATATTGGTGTGAATGAGAGCAGTGCTGTTTGATTATTATGTGTAACACAGATTGAGTTATGGCTTTCTATTAACGGGACAAAAAAGGGAGAAGAGAATATCTCTCGATAATTCAAAGCCGACGCCCTGTTCGCGAATCCGCGAAATATTCGGCGAACTTCACGGGCCGACACACCAGTGAAATTTCACAGGTCGATGAGTGGTCAATCAAAATACAAGACGCACGGATATTATCCAAATCCTGCACGCCCACGATCGTCGTGCGCACGTCGGTCCATTTCGTATCGAAAACTGCGATCTCGCGGAGGCCTATAAATAAATCGCGAGATGGCGAGAACGTAATCGACGCGTTGTTTTTCTGTTTTCACGATCAAGTTTGCCGGGCTGAGAGGGGCTGGCTAGCCGAGCCGCTGACACTGGCATTGGCCTACTCTCTCCCAGCGTCGTTCACTCTCCTGCTTCGCGCTCGTGTTCTCACTCTCTTTCGTTTCGTGCTCGAGACAAAATGCGCGCGTTGTGCCTCCATTCTCCACTATCGCGCTTTTCTCCCAATAGATACCTCGCTCATTCCGGACTCCGCTTTTCCTGCCGTTCTGACGAGACTGCATTTCGACGTTATTCACGTTTATCTGAAGCGGCGCTCATTTAAGAAAAAAGCTATCGTGCCAAGCAGGTACACGAGATATCGCGGTAATTACAAAATGTTTTTCATTGTCTTTCTTTCACTCGTTCTCTTATCATACAAACTTTTGTTTACTTCCAATGAGGAAAATTCGACGCATCTCTTAAAATTTGAAACTTTCTTCAAGAGCGGACGAGATAACAAAAAGAAGTGATTGGAAGATCTAATGTCGAAGTATTCGAGAAAGTATTTGAGAAGAAATTGTCGTGATGTACCAAATATTAGTGGTATTTGATTATTTACAAAAATAATCGAACTTGCTTACGTTTTACTGCTTACTACCAATCCCATTATAAATGGACCTTTATAGACACCATTTTCTATCTACATCCTGCGTTAGGCCGGAAGTATTCAAATGAACATAAGCAGAGTAAAACTTAAGCAGTAAACGAATTAAATCACAGCCGATGATTCTCCTCACGGTCAAAGAACAATCGATTGTGACCGGTCGATTCTCTTGCTGCTTGAATCTTATTACTTATTTTATTCCACGGCTCCTACATGAGATCGAATTTCGGCAAGTTTCAAACAGTAAAGAATTACAGTAAAGTTTCTCGCGTTGAACAATCGATAAGGACACTCATCCATCATTGCGGAGGAGAGTAGTGATAGTAAATAGATCGACATATAATCAGCGGAGAGAGAGAGAAAGAGAGAGAGGGAAAGAAAGAGAGAGAGAAAAAGAGAGAAAGACTCCACACCGGCTGGTGCACGTCGCGCGACGTCGTCGTCGTCGTCGGGCTCGACCTGGTTTCCAGCGAGAAAAGTCGTTCGCTCCTTGCAACAACTCTCGGGATCGAAGAAGAGACCAAGCTGCGTTACGGATAGTGGCGGGACGATGGTCACGTCCTGAGATTCTGGACAGTGGAAAGCATCTCTCGCCTCCCTCTTCTTCGCCAGCCCTCTGTCACCTCTCGCGCGCTCCCGGCTCTCTCCCTCGTTCTGTTATGAAAGTGCTGCAAGTGGAGCGCGCCGCCTGCGACAACAAAGCTGTACTTTTATTTATAACTGGCCGACTTACATCAAGGCGAGTCTCGGTCTGCCGATAGACGAGGAGAGGACGTTATAGACCGGAGACAACGCGGTCGCGGGCCATCCACGGTGTCTTCGACATCTCACGCCTTCGGCGTCCTGCTGCTCGCCGCTGACGAGAGAGTGGGAAAATGGATGCGCGTCGAGAGAGTGGGAAAATGGATGCGCGTTGAGAGAGTGCGAAAGGTGTGCGCGCACAAGAAAAATCTCGACGAGCTATTCCCTCGCGGCGAGAGAGCTGCACCGGCCGGCAGGTTGGTCGGTCGGTCGGTCGGTCGATCAATCGATCGATCGGTCGATCGGTTGATCGGCCGGCCGGATGGCCGACGACTTCCAACGCCGGAAGAATTCGTTTTCCTTTTGTGGGCGCATCGACCCGCGAGATCGGCGAGCAAGAGAAAGAGATAGAGAAAGAGGAGAGAAGAGCGTGGACTGCGCGGGAAAGACCAGGCGAGAGTATCAGCCCAGATGTTCAGTGGACTTTCCAATAAAAGTTCGATAATTTGTTGCGAAATGATGAATTCAGATCCGATAGCCGGGCGAACTAGGAGTGGGCTGCTGAGTTTCTCTACGTCACTTTGCTGCAGCGCGTAACGAATGGCACGTACCATGATAAATCGGTTGATCGCGCGCTGATTAAGTTTATCGCGGGCGGTTTACCGCTTAATAATGCACCGCCGAGCGAGATAGCCAATAAAATAGAAAGTATGCCGCGTTTGTGATAATCTAAGATCAGCGACAGATCCAATTAATGGCGGCAATATACTAACAGCACACATAGACTATCCATTTATCGACTGGCTGCCATAAGTACCATCGTATCACTAAGTGACGGTAATGAATATAATGTTGGAAGAAAGGAATCTTCTGCCTCGTCCTCAAACGTGAGGAACGGGTCGCGACGGCTCGAACTTCCGACTTGAGTTTCGCCTGTGTGAGGTTCGGTTAAATGAGAAACGACTTTAAACGGAAAAATATCCGTATATCATCGTATGATGACTCGCGAAGGCGCCGTCTCGAGAGTCCTCCACGACGGTGAAGAGAAAAGCAGCGGAATCGAAAGGAAGATCAGGAGGAGCTAACTAGCGCGACGCGTTAGCCGGCGCACTTATTAGGAAATTGCACTTTCTTTCACGGTTGGAGCACCGAGTCCGCGCATTGCGCCGAGGACGGCCGAAGGTGAGAAGAACGAGGAAACCGACCTCCGGTGCAACGACCCGCCGCGAAGTGTGTCGGTTGTGGGCGCACGCAATCGTCGCAACGATTTTGAAAAATGGCCGTCCCACTTCTGCAAGGGAGTACTTTCACGGTCGCTAACCCCGCGACTGAGAGGATCGTGCTGCTCTCGACACGACACAAGCGCGCTACCCGCGCTTTTACACTGCAAAACTGCCCGGGTTCGCGGACTCTCTAACGGCACGGAGAAGACCACTCTTACCGCTTACCGTAAACCGCGAGTGATCCCGCCGTATGATATCGGGCGACAAGGAAAAAGAGCTACATCCCGTGGGGTCCGCGATTGCAGGTCGACGCTGCAGGTCAGATAAGTCGGTCGAGTCGAACTAGACGTCGAAGAATTAAATGGGAAACAATTATGTAATAAATAATTATGGAGAGGTAAGGAGAAAACATCGAGGAGAGAAGAGACCGATTGGTCTAACTAAAATTATAGCTGTTTCTGGCCCCAATCATATTTCTTTATTGTTTCAACACGCAAATAGTGGTAGCAACATACATATCAAATATTGTTTACTTGATTTAAGTAACATTTGGTTTAAATAAAGAGAATTTAGATTTAACTAAATATGTTAACGGCATCCATCAAAGAAATATTTTATTTCAAAATAATTTTTCTTTCAGTGTATAACGTTATTTTATTAACAACATTAGAATCTAGCAATAGCATTTAATAAAAGAAAACGGTTTTTTTCACTTTAATTTATAGTGATTATTTCTCTATTGGATTTCAAAGTTATACAAATAGCAAACACATTCTTTTCTCAGTGAAAGAACAAGTGAGACAAATTTTTTCTACATTCTTTCAAGATAAAGGTATCACGAACACGTATCTAGTCCTGAACATTATTATTGTTGTGATCTTTAGATACGAATATCGTCGGAAACAATTTTTACGTTTTATTTGACTGAAAACCAGATTAAAACTTTGCTGACGTGAAATCATGTCTCTGCTATTCTGACCGAAAACATTTGTCTGAACATTCAGCTGCGATAAAACTTGATTGAGATAACTGAGAGTAATTAACTGTGAGTAGAAATCTTCTACAGGAATATTTTTGTTTCTACAATCGAGTTTTTCAACTAGTCCCAAGTAAATTCAATTACATTATCGGAGTTATTTTTCCATGTATACTTTCCATATAAAATGTATGGCTGTATATTTTATGTTGACAGTTTAAATATCTGTATTTGTGAAAAGACCAAAACAATAGGAATGTCCCGAATTAGTTACGTGTCCGGGCATTGGTATTTTTGTCTTAATGTAACCGAATTTTCCGTTGCAATAATAGGGATCAGATAAAAAAACTCTGTTGCAGAAACAAAGAGATTCCTATAGAAGATTTCTACTCACGGTCAATTATTCTCGGTTATTGCGACCAAGCTTTAGTACAGCTGAATGTCCAGACAAATTCGTTTGCGGTTGCGATAACAGAAATCTCATTTCACGTCGCCGAATTTCATCTGATTCCTATTCAGTCGCATGAACCGAGATTTTTCCCGTGCGCTAATATCATTCTTGAAACTACGGTAAATAACTGTTTTTGGAAATTACAGGAGAAAAGTTCTTGAAAAATTCTTTTAAAACATAGAATGCACATAAGATTTTTTCTGCTTAAGTAAAAAATATGATATTTAGAGAAAGAAATAAGAACTCGCAATAATAAACGAAGATATCAATAAAAAAATAGGAAAAAGGGCAATTCGAGTTCAAGCACAGAACTAATAGTGCTATAAACCATATGGGTAAAAAACCTTCCTTGTGTTAGGAAATCGGGTAATATTTATTGAACATGAATAATCAATATAAAAAACAATCACGTTTCGGCTCAACTATGAACCCTCTTCAGTGATAATAAAAACTCAAGGTTTACGACACGAACGCATTACAATTAGTTAAAGACCTGCGTAAATTGATATGAATGTTAATCGCAATATTAAAGCTGACAAGACCGTTACCGAAATAATATTCATGTTCAATAAATATTACACGATTTCCTAACACAAGGAAGGTTTTTTACCCATATGGTTTATAGCACTATTAATTTTGTGCTTGAATTCGAATTGCCCATTTTCCTATTTTTTAAAAAATATGATTCTTGTATGTGTATTGGAACGTGCGAGTATATCATGAATCTTCGATAAGGATCTTCTTATTCACATCATGAATAAGAAAACATCTACTCCCACATGATCTCTCTCTCTCTCTCTCTCTCTCTCTCTCTCTCTCTCGATTTATCTGGACGAGCAAGCACACCGATTTTTCGTCCTAAGTCGTTGCTAGAATTTCCCTCGGTTTCTCAACTTTTATCCTCGCACAAGATCGCCGTCTACGGGGCCCACTTTTCACCGCAAATTCTCACGATATCGTGCTCGGAAAGTAGCGAAAACGTGCTCGAGGATTTCTTTCCCTTCTCCTCCGTCGCGTCTTACGAGCGATGCTCGAAAGGATCGCCGGTCGGCTCGCTTTGCACAGTACGCCATGCACGGTGAATAAAACTGTCATCTCGAAAGTTGGCCTACTATCTCCCCGATCGCGATAATAGCCCTCGCAGCTACGAGAGGTGTCTTCCTTCTCTTTCCGCGACGGCGTCGGTCTCTAATGCATGATGGAAAAACGAAGTTGCCTTGTAAATCTTTGTATCTCTCGTAATCGCACCATCTTCTTTCTTAGATAAAACGTTAAAAAGATAAGATGTTGGAACAAGAATGTAAAGTGAAGATACGCTGTGGAACGTAGAAATTTAAAAGTTAGTCTTGATAAGAAGCTATCATTGTGTAATAATAAAGCTTTTTAAGAATATTTGTTACCTCCCACGGAAAAATTTTAAGAAAATTCCTTCGAATGTTTTTCATATCTCATTCAAATTCCATAAGAGAGAAAAAATTATATGTGTTCTCTCGCTTGGATTATAATTATAACTTATTCAAAACGTATAAAACTATACGACGTACGCGATTGCACAATTTTTCAAAATTGATCGCAATTTCTTTCTCGTTCATCTCTGTTTCGTCGTCGTGGAGCAACAGCGTTTTCATTAATAGATGTAAAACGACGTATAATTTCTCTTTCGCAGACTCGAGCAAAGAGCGATTTATTTCCCAGGCAGCTTCCGCTTTTTCGGCACATTCCGCAGCCTAGCATTTATGCGACACTCGATCAGCCAATAGCGAACCGAGGAGCGCGCTGCAATTCGACCTGCGAGCGGTCTTCCAATGTTCTAGGATTAAGATACAGGGAATAGTATATTTGAAAAAATACATTGACTTCATCGAGGTGCCAGTTGTTCTCGTGAGGAGAAGCAATTATATTTTCTTCTTATATATATACAGGGTGTTCCAGATTCTCCTCCGCAATTTTTGTAAAACGAACGTAAAACGGATTGAGGTGAACATAAAAGTCCTATACTGCGATATTCGCAATAAATCTCGAGATATTAATTAAAAAAGATTGATGAATGATCACGCGCGATATGGTAGAGTCTCAATCTGTTCTTACAAAAAATGTGAAGGAAAGCCTGGGACACCCTGTACATAAAATAGAATGTCTGTCTGTCTGTATGTTCTCTATACTCTTTAACTCTTTAACCCTAAACTCTTTAACTGGTTTGGACTAAAATTTTGCATAGTTATTCTCTAAGATCCTGTGGAAAATATAGATTACCATAAAATATAAATTCCCTCCTCTTGATTTCATCCCCTTGATATTTAGTGATAACGCGAGCAACGAGGCTTAGTTTTAGCTAATGTAAAATAATCATGATGTAGAAAATTTTGACATAAAAATAACTATAGCAAAGGCAAAACTGAGTTGTAGGTACTGAAACTGCTCCATCTCGTTCTTGTGTCCAGCGACTCCTAGCCTGTCTCCAAGAGGCAGACGCGGAAGGGAAGATGGAAGACGGCGAGGAGACACAAGATCAATAATGCGTATTTTACGCATTACTAAGTTAAAGGCGCGCTTCTTATGCGCCTTCGTCTTCCAGTAGTTCTTTCACGCATTTTCACGTCGATCTCGATGAATGAAAGGCATGTTGCGTTTTGAGACGGGAAATTGCCTCTTGCTTGCTAAAGTTTCGAGCAAACGAGAATTTATTGCGCAATACTGCGCCAACGGGCATCGGGAGGTAATACAATATCGCGCAGTTACCGCAGATTTATCATCAATGGAAATTGTCAGATTTATTTCGAGCCGACCTCGAAGTCACCCTGCGTTGTCTCGTCTCGCAGTCGAGCGTGAACGAGCGGATGCAAATGCGTGCAGGTCGTGCCACGCTGCACCTGCCGCATATTCCGAACGAGCACGATCGTATGCCTCCTCGCACGACCTTGACACGCTTGACTCGGAGACATCTTCAATCCTCAAACGGCTGATACATACCCATTATACCACAGCTTGACACCGAAAGATCGCTCTTTAACGCCAGCACAATCAACTTTGAATTTCTGTAATTGCCGGCAGCGCGGCATAATGTGACGTTGAAGTATTGTTGATCCCAAGGAATTCTCTTGCCCACGTCGGAATTCTCTCTCTCTCTCTCTCTTTTTTCTTAATAGAACGCGCCTCTTTTGGTCGCGGATTTGCAAGTTAAAATAAGACAAAAATGTACAGCTAGTCGTGTGAGTAATCGCTTCAGGAAAAAATATACTGACAGTCTCGTGCGATATACTCTACGCTCATTCTGTGCGATGTATGTCTTAAAGTGTGGTAAATCGAAATGATTGAACTTAATCGTTAGATTAATCATCCAAATGATAGACACAAATATCTGTTGAGTAATATCGGAGATAAAAATGCCAAAATCCCATATCGGAGATAAAAATGCCAGTACATTCAGAGGAAACTTTGTGCATGAGCGCGACGCTAATATTATGACTACGTCTTGAGAGAGTTTATCGAATCATAAGGATGTTGGAACGAATAGAGAGACACTCTGTTGTGCCAAGCGATTTCTCGCGTGTGAACGTTCTCGCGTCTACAAAGAGTCTTCTGAAGATTATCATATCTCGATACTCTCGATAATGCCCGTTCCACGTCGCCAGCGTACGCGGCCGGGCGAATTGCCGAATGCATTATGCAAATAACTTGTATCCTTACTTGAAAATTCCAAAGGGAGCGTTCAAAGAGCTTTAAGGTACTACGCGATTTCACTCGCATTCGAGCACTTTTATTCGCGCGTAAACTATCCCGAATATCTTTAATACCATCTGTTAAGTAGTACAAAGTGCCGATAGTAGACAGAAATTCTTTGAAGTTCTTCGAATCGAATTTTCCTGTCGAAGGTACGCAAAAAGTTTAATTCTTCCAGGCGAGGCTCGTGAGTTGGAATACACACTACTCGCGCTTAGATACTGTTTATCGATCCTCACGGTCACGCCGGAAAGGGAAGATTGCTGCGATGATAACTCGCAAATGAGCCAATTTTCACACTCTCTCTCTCTCTCAATACGGATCTCACACTGCGCGATACCTTTATTACTCCCTGAAAAGGTCCATTACTTTTGGAATTAATCCGTTTCGTAACGACGCGAGATAACAACAGATGAAACTCCGCTGAGCTTTTTCAGGGACCTGAAAATATGCCGGAAAATTTGGCATTATGCCTACCACTAAAGGGACATGTGTTTGAGCATTTCATACGAATTGCAAACAAGAGAGCAATATTTTTTAACAATAAATATTTTGTAAATTGATGCAAACATTGCGAGAGGTCGGCCTAAGTTCCGTTGAAAACGGTGATTGCTTTGTAGAAAAATTGGCGGGCAAGCTGTAAATGTTACATAATGCAAAATTTGAAGTTCGAAAAAGCATTCGAGCAGCTGCTAGATAGAAATTGGCAGGCATTCAATTTTCAGGCTGCTTGAACAATTTTGCGTGATGGAAAGAAATTGCTTCTCATTCTATTTGTTGCTGTAAACTCTTGTAATATTTCCGGCGAATATATTTATGATGAGCGTCATACATTACAATCGAAAATAATTCAAGTCCACGAACATTTTTATGGTGACACAGGACGATGCTTTCGCGCATCCTGCCTCGCGCAATTTATGAAAGTGATAACCAACAAACACATGGCTCAACGTTATGCTCGGGAGACAAAGCGGCTGTAATAGAAAAGACCGAGGTGGAAAATTTCTCGAAAGTCAACGAATCCTGCCAAAGGAGAATTTACAGTTCATTGTTTATTTTGCCGTGCGAGGACAGGTGCGTTGCGCAGCCTAGTTCGCAGTTTGCATTGCGTTTTGCAAGTCGCACACGCGGCACATATTCGCGCTATGACAGTGGTGCAGTGAAAATATACATAATGGGGGTGGAGACGCTCCTCGAGGGCGCCCGAGGGATATCCGCGACGAAGAGCGACGAGACGCGCGAACGAACGGAACAAGGACACGGCAAGTGCGGGTGCGCGTCTGCATGCGCCGTTGCAGAAACTCCGTAGTACCGCAACCCGCCACTCGCCGCCGCCTCGGCGCCACAGTCTCTCTCTCCGCATGTTCGGAGCCGGCTGAAACGCTCCGTACGTCTTCGATACATTCGTCCATCCACTCGCCTCCTGCAGAATGGTAAGTCGATCAACACGCAAGAAAATTACCCAGATGACGCGTTCTCACATTCCCGGTTACAATCGTGGCGAATATTCGGGATCGTTCACTCGTGAATTTCCGTATTGTCTCGCCCGCAATTCCTGGTCTGCAACACGCGGAGGCGTGAAATAATTCTCGGGAAATTTTGATTTTTCACGCGCTCATACAAAATCGCGAATGTCGTGTGCGGAAGGAGGTCGCGTAGCTAACAGACGTTCCGCATCTGCACTGTGTCGTCTGCTGCTGTCGTCTGTTTTACTCGCGACTGGTTAGTCGTCTGTAACGGAAGTTGTTCAATGCCAGGATGGAAGAAATCAGACCGTTTTTAGCGGAGGTAGATCGTGAAGGAACAATTGGCACGATGTAAAAACGCGAATTCCACTCGGTTACTTAATGCGACGTACTTTAATGACCGGAAGAACGGGGATCGCGTCGTGGTGCGACGAGTACGCGCTGTCACGGTTACTAAAACCACCGCGTGATTGCAGCACGTGACGGGGAAGCCCCGTATAACCGACGCTCATTCGTGGAGCGTCAATATCCATTAATTTTCAAAATGTATTGTTCTGTCAATTTTGTTATTTTGCGTATACATATATATACACGCATGCACACACATATATATACTGAGTAAGTTTGATTTGATGAAATCGCATTTGACCTTTTGACGAGAATTGATTAAAATGCCTTCGAAAAAAAATTCTTTATAAAATCGTAACGACATACTTTTATCGCAATTTTTACACTTAAATCCTTTATCATGTTCATTAACACATATTACAATGTTCTCATGACTTTCCTCTCACAGTCATTTAATCATTCTCGATTTAGAGCAATATTAAGTTCAAAGTAAAGTTGCACGTTAGGTACTCGTAGTCTTTCGGGGACGCGTGTCCGTCACATGTGCCTTAACATTTGTTTATTAGAGTTTCCTATTATTTTTAATTTTACTTGGTCCACGTATGGGGATGAAAAGCGCAAGGGAAACCCTAGTAAATAAGTGTTAAGGTGTGTTATAATGCCCGGTGTATATACGCGATGCATTCAGTCCGCGAAACAGATCATTAACATGCACTTACTTATGCGGATGTATTGATCACTCAGTGAAACGCGTATATATCTCCGTATACCTATGCATAGTTATTGAAATCAGGAAACGAAACCGTTACACATATTTCGCATCTTTGCAATTAAGCATTTGCACAATAACTGCTTCAGAATTGGACTATCGATCTGTTTTTCTTTACTCGGACAAGCTTCGCGTGTCGTCTTCGTCGGGAAAGTTTCACATGTGACGCAAAACTGGCACAAAACCAATGCCGAACCACCGAACGTCAGTCTGCACAACTGACGATTCTCTACATTACGAAATATTTAATTTCTATTTACTTGATTTATGCATGCATTTTCTTAGAACAAACCGACTTTCCGATATACATATAAAAAGTGTAAAACGGAATGAACATATAATATTAACTCAATTGATGGAGATACATTGAAGCATACATTAAGGCATTGTGCAAACTGTCATTCTCATACATGAATATTATCAATAGAACTGATATGTACACTGTCTATATTCCAATACAGTCCGATAATGGAAATTGTCGTCCTATACAAGAGTTCACTGACAATAAGCCATTATGTCTGCGGTACGAAAGCTACAATCAATAACAGGGATTTCGATACGTACATTGATGCAGATACGATAATGTATTCTGCAAAATTATATCTAATTATAAACAATTCTTACAGAATTGACCCTAAGACATCCGTGACTCTCTTTATCCTTTTTATCGTTATTACTGTATTCTTTTGTCACACTCTGCTACCGTTTTGTTACGTCGTCATTGACATTCACGGATTAAACGATCTGCCGAGTACAAAAACAAATCACCTATACCCTATGCGTATATGCAGGTACTTGCAGACGCGACGTTGGCGGACAACCATCACCGTCACCGTACCTTCGCGACAAACGGTAATCCGGAAGGTATTACGATATGTAACTTAGTGGACGGTGAGACCTTGACGTACAGCTTAGCCCTGATAAGAGGTCGAGCACCCGCTCTATGCAGCTACATCACCGTTCGGGGTTACAAAAACGTGACTTCGGAGTGGCCGATCATCGCGGGACAATTCCGCGTTCTGGTGGACTTGGCGCGTGGATCAAACAAATTAGAACTCGAAGCAGGCGGGCACAAAAGGAGATTCATTCTGATATACGAACCCAGAACTACTAGGCTACGAGTGACACCAGTCTATGTTATCTGCGCCGGTCATGACGGTTATTTCCAAGTAAGAACAACGATGGATGATAACCGTAGTGACCGTCTAGCTGCTCTAGAATAAACAAGACGAAAGAGTTGTTTTGGCATCATGCACTTGAAGTCTCAGATAATAGCAATCGTTTTAATAACCATGCTTTAATTACCTTTCTGTATAAACAATGCTTTTAGGTATATAATCAAATGAAAAAGAAAAAAGAAACAATGAGAGCCAGTCGGTGTTGGTACGAATATTCAAAGGATAGGAGAATGTCAAACGCATGCGCTAAATATTTCTCCGGAACTGCAACGTGCGCGGTGAACCGACCTTTTGCATTGATTAATTTTAAATTACTATTGTTAATCAATTCTAATACTATCAAATATTATTATCCTCTCATACTTTAAATATTCCCACTAATACTGCGACTGGACTTCATCGGGTTTCTTTCTGTCTCTTTTTTATTTGGTTGATCAACATTGTTGGGATCTCTTCAGCGCATGTCAATTCTTAAGAAACGCTTTGATTTGCACACGAATGATCACGATTCATAATAGTTCAGCTACTTGGAACGTAGCGTGCACCTTTCCAATTATCGATCGTCATTCTGTTCCACGAATAGCCTTATTGTCGTGTTAAACTTGCCTATGTTTCGGTCGCGACGATACGATTGAGATCCTTTCATAACTCAATTCTGTGGGATGATTGCGATCTTGTAGTTTACTCACAGTAGACAGAATATATCGTGACAATTATAGCTCGCGGTTTAATCTATATTTTTAGGGACCACGAGGTGAGGATCGATCACCTGAAAGTGCGGCAACCAGAATAGGACTCGGTGCCAGACTCCTTCAAACTTTGACAGCCGAGAAACTTCGTGAGGCCGGTTATAGTAGAAAAACCTTTCAATTAGAAAGAGACCTGGACGGCCCGGAATGCTTGGTGATGCACAGTATGCTTCACGTGGACCGTGCTCGGGCGATGAAGCAAAGGGAGCTCTGGGAGCTGATTGCGCGCGAACTAATGACCGGCCCTTTAGCGTCCAGAGATCGCAAATATTTAGCGTTTCTCTCGTGTACGAGATATTGTGGTGCACCTAGTCCTCGTACGCACGAAGACACCTTAGCGAGAACACAAGGTCATGCTGCTCTCGGCGGAGGTGGTTTAGCGCTCTTCGGTTCAGCGTGTCTTCACACTTGGCCTACGTGTATGGCTCAGGTTGGTTGATACTGATGGCAAATTAAGACTACTCGTTTATGAAATAAAGGAAGATATTAAAAAAGAGTCGATTTTAGCCCGTAAGGGAAAAAGAATAATGTTTTTCATAGATTTTGATTTCCTGAATATGAAAAAATTATTAAAAAGTTGATGGGGTTTCAGGAACATCTTGAAAATTAAACAAGAATGTTTAAATAATGTTAAAGGATATATTTATAGAAATTCAGTTTATGTTGAAACCACTACAGAATGCATTTCTGCGAATTTTGAGGAAAAAGGGAGAAAAGTTGAGTGTTGTGTGTGTGTAGAAACAGTAGATTTTTATTAGATCACATAAAATCGGAATGAAAGAACCATAAATATGCATCCAGCGAGACAGGAAAAGTGTTTGTTTTTGAAGGGAGGAGTTAAAAAGAGTTGTGTGGCTCTGTGTTTGTAGGAAAGAGCGTTGTATGTATATGGGTCTGCAAGGAAGACTAAGCTAGTTGTAATTTAGTTGAATTAGTATAACACCCTCAAGCCTTTACTTTTAACACTGCTGCTGGTGTAAACTCTAGCCTTTTATTACTTAAACCTATTTTATCTATCTAGTCTTTTATTACTTAAACAATATATTGTTTTACAAGATTGCTAACAAAATGGTTAAATCGATTTAAAGTCTCATTAACCTTTTGTTTCTTTAATCTCGTTCTCTGCTGAGCTCGAAACCGCAATAAGGATGCGACGAGATATTGGTTCTATTTCCTATTTTTGTTTTTTGGGGGTTTTTATACTTCTTTGTATTTTATATTTTTTTATATTTTATTTTTTATATTTTGTATTTTATTTTTTATATTTTTTTGTATTTTATATTTTTTCCTTTCTGGTGTTATTCTCTCTCTTTCTCTTTCTTTCTCTGTGCTCCGAACATAACTGAGCGCGCGTCATCATACGGATGGATCGGAGCGGAAAGAAAAAAATATAAAATATAAAATACAAAAAAATATAAAATATGAAATGCAAAAAACCATAAAATATAAAATAAAAAAAATATATAAAAAATAAATAATACAAAAAATAAAAAATGTAAAATATAAAAAATAAAAAATATAAAATACAGAAAATATATAAAATATAAAAAACTAAAAAACAAACATGAAATTCCATACAGTACAAAAGTTTGAAAAAGATTTCAGAAAGATTTTAGAAAGATCTCAGAAAGATTCAATTTTTCTGAAACCTTTCTGAAAGCTTTTTGAAATTTCTGTGCTATATAGGATGAAACCAATATCGTGTCGTATCCTCGTTAGTCTCAAATACACATACATACACAACACTCCCCCTTTCTTTTCAAAACTCACAGAGATTTTGTAGTAGTTTCAACATAAACTGAATTTCTATAAATACAAAATGTTCTTGTTCAATTACTAAGATAGGGTTCCCGAAATTCTATCAACCTTTTAATAATTTTTTTCGTATTCAGGTCAGAATCTTCAGGAGGTCAGAAAAAACACTAAAAACACTAAAAACACTATTTCTTATACTTTTACTTTAGAAACAAAAATCGGTCCTTTTTTTAACATCCTCCTTTTATAGCAACCTGGGTCAAGTTGGTTATTTTGACCAACATGACTTTCAGACTTTGTTTGATTCCGACGTTTTGCGAACATTTCAGTCCGCTTCATCGGGGAGGAACGATCCGATGAATCCTTCCTGATGAAGCGGATTGAAATGTTCGCGTAACGTCGAAATCAAACAAAGATGAATCCATGCGGCTCAATCCCGGAAACCAAATCTAATATGCATGGACACCGCAAAGCCTAAAAAATCAAATGACTTTCAGACTGCCGACCGACTCGATATATTTGTTTCTATTTGCTCCTTATCATGTACAAGTGATGTACATCAGATGACTTTCTAAAACTGGGATTACTTCTATAATTCAGGTATTACCGAGATTCTTGGATGCGACTATCGTAGACACCGAGCAGCTCATGGACGACAGTAACTACCGCGGCACTCACGGCGGTTGTTTAGCAACAACGTTAGGTTCCGTTCTACACGAACTTGGTCACACCTTCGATCTTGGCCATACTCGAGAGGGAATAATGGGTCGAGGATTCGACTACGTCGACAGGGTTTTCGTAGGCGCGGCTGGAATCGACTTCAATCGTAATCCCATCAGAAGGGATCCTCAACATACTACTGTCGCTCTTAGCAGACCTCTTAGCGTCACGGTGACTGTACAAGAATCCGTACTCTCGAGCCCACGACGAGGTAGATTACTCTCGGAGACATCTAGACCAACACCGCCGCCTACCTCCAGGCAGTTGCCCGGAAGACTTTCGGCACCGGCTAGCCCTGAACTCAACAGATCGCTCACTAAAAGTCTGATCGCCTCGGAATCTCTTTCGCAGTCTGACCGAACGTTCTGGGGACCATCGTGCGCGGTGTTACTTGCGTATCACCGCTGGTTCAACAATGAAATGAACAATTTTTCCAACAGACATCATCACGAGATAAATTACGATGGAAAAAGGTAAGTTCACCATTAAAGAAAATATATAATTTCTTTCTAGAAGAAGGAAATTGAAAAACTAAAATGTTGAAACATCTTTTCTTATTATTTATATCAATTATGAACAATTAATCTTTTCTACTTGATTTATATCACAGTGTTAAAGTCAGGTAAGTTTTAGTGCGGTAATTATTGATAATTATGGATTCTTTTACAAGGAACGTGGTAAGATCACGATACGGAATACGTGTCATAGAGCTTAGGGAGACTTCAGGAGGAATGGTTGTGGGTTGTCGTCAATTTCCTGGCTCGCGACCACCTTTGGAGGCCTTAGTACCGTCACCTCCACCTCACTGCCTCACTACTCTCACTCTCGTAGCGGAAGACTCCACCGGGAATATACTCAAACATCCTCTCCCCACTGCCTTTTAAAGGTCAGTAGAAATAGTGATAGGTAGATTTACCCCTCCAACCAGGCGAAGGTTGTTACACCAAAATAAGCAATAGTGGCTTAATATACACAACTGTAACATACACAATGATCTCTCTCCAAAGATATTTTATCTTTCTACTTTTCCTCAGTTTCAAATTCAGTGCAAAAATATTTTAATTAAACAAATACTTTAATTAAATCCGTGTAAAGAATAGTAAGCTTCCCTTTGCGTAACTAATTTGTTGATAAAGTTGTATAGATAAATCTGAAATATTTTTTAGTCGTATGTACATTATGATATAGCAAGATAAACGTGAGAATATAACGGCGAACAAAATTATTCTCGTACAGATTCGAATTATGCACCATCATCCGCGTTTCACAATCATTGTCATCTTATATTTAATCGTTGATCATTTTCGTTGCTCTATGGATATAATGATATGACAAAATAAATTCCTAATTTCTATTCAAGTCCCGATACCTCGTGGCAATAGTGCAATATTGACTTAAGGGGATGCTGAAGCTGAAAACTTTACCGACAAAACCCAGACAACATAATGTCTAAAATCGAGAAATGTCTTAAAGATCATCTTTAAGATGTCTTTCAGACGATTTACGTATAAATGTCTTTAAGGTATCTTAAAGATTATCTTTAAGACGTCTTATGTCCCGATTTTAGACATTATGTTGTCTGAGAACATTGACATTTTTCTGCAAAGTTTACGTATTGTTTAGACAGAATTACAAATGCTTTTACGTAATGAAAGTACGTGTAAAAATAAATAGGAGCATTGCTCGATATGTGACGAAAATAAACAAAAAATGTTTAATGTAAAATCTCAAGCTGTCAATTAGCTGTCAGTTCATATTTGCCTAATCCAAAAGTTCTACAGTTCGGCATATACATACCGAAAGTGTGGATGTTTCAAACAGAAAAATTTTTAAGAACATTGCTCTACTTTCGCATCTGAATTGGAAGCTTAAGAATATCGAAAAAGTTTGCAGAAAGATTTCTACACATATATGGTTAGGTTTTCCGTTGAATATGGTAAAACAAAACAACACACATTCATGTAAATTCTGTATATACAAGGAATACGAAAAGAATAACGTGATTATGTTAGTGACGATCGTCTCTCTGCATTATCGACATTGTTCGAGTTTGTCATCGACTCCAGCATCCCCTTAAGATAGTTTATAAAAGTATTATACTGCCATTATATATCCGCTGCTTCTAAAATTATAGTATAACTTCGACACGAGACGATCTGCACGCGGAATTTAGAAGATCTCATATATCTTCTCATATTATGCAATGCAATTTAATTCTATGATTTATTGTCCTATTTTACTAAGAATTCTCATAAAGATATTTTCGAACATGCAATTTATATACAGTATTGAACAAGAGTTTGCACTTGTTACTATACGTGTGCGCGCGCGTACAGGTGGCATGAATTTTATATGCGTACATAAATATAATAATGCGTATGATTACATAGACGGATGACAAATATTTAATAACTATACGGGGTACACATCTTGCTCATATACAATACTTTACACGTTGAATATGCAGGGAACTACTTTATAATAATTTATTTTGTAAACATGGTCTCTCTAGCGCGTTTCGTGATGTAGTCTTAATTCCTATTAATGCAAATAATTAATTAATAATATCCGTAACATGCACAAATGCATCAATCATGTTTATAATGTAATAAATACTCATAATGTAATGAATATACCAGAACAATATAAGATATATTGGGCGCGCTTGTATAACTACGTTGCGGAAATTTCAACTCTAGTATTATATATAATATATATAATATATATATATATATATATATATATATATATATATATATATATATATATTATATATAATATATATGCAATTATATATATATATATATATATATATATGCAATATTATATTAATATATATATATATATAATATATATGCAATATTATATACATATATATACACTTATATACATATAAGTAGGACTTAAAGAGGCGATTGATACAAGTTCTAACACAAGTTGTTGGGGCAAAAAGGCACTTGTATATTATTAAACACATATACACATATGTACAGTATATCTTATATTATTTTAATAAGTTAGATTTAGCAAAACGAAGATATTACGGAGACAATATAACGTACTACCGAGTTTGCAAGTTGGCGAGAAAAAATATATATGTATTACTAATTAAAAATATAAAATTGCAAAAAATATAACCACATACATTAATTCTTCTGCCTTTATCTCCTTCAATGATAAATTTAAATTGATGCGTTACTGTGCTTTATCATCAATACCAAATAACTGTGCAATGTAAAATCTTTTAGCGTGATGATCAGCAGATCTCTTTAAAGCTATTGTAGCTGTTATAATTTCAATGACAAGTAGAAACATCATGATGCTGTTAGCAATTGTTTCACTAAGGTGGGGCTTGGTTTTTTTATCGACAAGGAGGAATATCTCCAAAGGAAAATGAATGAGAGTAGATATAAGCCAAAAGCTTGCCAGCTCTGGAATCTAAAACATATTCTTTATATAATCCTAATAAATGCATACAATTTGCATACAAAGCTGTTCAGCTCTGCTAATATAAATTACCTTTTCTCCCAAATTTCCAAGGTATCCCAAGTACAATCGTATACCTTCTAATATGGATAGAACAATGAATACTGCTACAGTTATAAATTTGTACACATCAGTTAAATAGTAATACTGAAAAAAAACATAATCCTATGTACACTGTTCTTTGATTTTAAAATATACTTTTTGTATCTCATTATATTTACCTTTGCATCTAAATTAACAAGTATTACTAGAAGCCACAATGGATATACCCATACATTAAAATACAATGCCATTTGCAATGGTAAGCTGGATTGTATTTGATTTCCTGCAAAACACGAGAGTTGTTAAAATCACAGAGACCACAGATTTATTTTTCTCAAAGATATTTATATTTGCAAGTTTCAATAAATATGAACAACTAATTTGGCTGTTAATGATTTAGAGAATATAAAAATAAATCCATAATTAATCTTCATATTCTTAACTAAAAAATTCCAGGCAATGTCTTAAAATTTGGACTGTTGATTTTTATGTACTTGATGTCATAATCTGATATCGTGCATTGCTTAATATATCATTGATGAATATACTAAGAAATAAAAATTATAAATTTCTCATGGAAACACGTTATTTTTATTATTTTCACTCTACATACCTATGTCATAAAATTCTTTTCTTCGGTTGTAATATGCCAAACCAGGAAATATATGATCTGATGCGGTAACAACTGATGTTTTCCACATCCACATCGTTTATAAGCTTTATGGTAATTGTGAAGGAAATACTCGACCTCATCGATTTTCTTAAAATTTGATAAGATAGTGTATTTTGACACGTAAAAATCAAATCTGAAAGCCAAAATCGTCGCTCTTCACGGTAAAGCGAAATATTAATTGATAAAGTTGATCACTTTTAAGGTTAGAAAAACTGTCATACTGACGATAACAGCGACATTAGGTTTGTTCTTTCGACCTGACCTAGGGCTGCACTGGAACTGTACTAGTTGAAGAAAGTTCAAGATAGTGCAGACCAGTGCAAAGATACATATGGGTCTGAAAAGAACGGGTAAGAGCAAGTTAGAGCAGTGTAAGATGGCGGACAACATGGTTGGATTAAATAACATAGATCAATTTATGGTCATGTTTTCGCACTTATAGCATTTTATGTTTTGTTGAACAATCCTATTTCTTTTAAAAACTGTTTTGTGTTGGATACCCATACAACAAATCCCTCCGAAAAAACGTCCAAGAGCCTTCCCAGGATGTCTTTCGGATATTTTGTGCTATTTGGATAGCATTCTAAATACTTCTTTTATGTCATTCTACATTATATATTTATTATATATTTATCTACATTATATATTTATTATATATTTAAGTATTTACTTACTGTTTATAGATTCCGTCGTCGGATTATTTCTTCTACGTAATGTCAACTAGGTATACCGATTTTACAGGTTATAGATACAAATTTAAATTTTTTCGGTTAGCTGCCCTGCACTGCTTGCTCTACCTCCAGACCTAGGGCAGTCAGTTCACTGAACTCGCTGCACTAGTTCAGCCTGCACTGTTCGAAAGAACACATTTTCTTGCACTGTTCTGATCGAAAGAACGCATTAGTGCAAACTTCGTGAACTAGTGCAGCCAGTTCAGGTCGAAAGAACAAACCTAGGGATTGTTCACTTGTGTAATTGGAAAACGTACTATTGTGTAGTGTAATAATACAACAGATGAAAATATGAACAAAACAATTTAATAATAGTAAAATGTATATTTGTACATGAACGTTTATTTTATCATATATAGAAATATATATTTGGAACTATTACAAATTTTTCATATTTTCTTTGTTTGCAATTTTGTAAATTTTCCGTTCTTTTTTGTTAATCAAATTATTTATAACAATTCGTTTATTGAGTGTTCGTAATCGAATATATGTTCAAGTGCGAACAAGACATGTAATTACTTCTTTCTGGAAATTGTTATTTAATTGCGAACAGACAATATCGGTTACTTTATCAAATATTTTGTCTTCTTGACTGAAGGCTTCTCCATGAAAATTTATAAATGATTTATTCATTATTTTCGCTGCACGAATGAACTAGTGCAATAAGTTAGAGTGAGACAAATATACTTTCTTTTAGTTTAACTTATTGCATTTTGGATAGTCTCTGATGAGTCGAAATGAGGACAACTGCGCATCCACGGGAACGGTACACCTTATATTCTTACACTATGAACGAAAGTAGAGCGAGTGAGATCTGGATCCGAGAGAATAGTATAATCTCCTATCTATAACTGTAATATTCTATGGTATGCTCTTGCTCCTGCTCTTGCAGTCTCATGAACACAAAAGTAAATCAGGAGTTCGTCTCACGAATAACAAAGGATACCCTGATAGGACATGTTGGTTTTATATACGTTTTATAAACGTATGTAACCTTTTATTATCGTTTGTAAAATATATCAAAAACGTTTCTTAAACGATAGGTGTTACTTGGGTAATGTATCATATTTAAAGTATATTAATATTTTATCTTAAATTTATACTTAGATGTGAGTTTTTAAGCTGAATCAAGATTATACATAATATGTCACGTATTTCATATGGTTCAATTAAAATAAATTAATCAAGCTCTTTGCAATCTTTGATAATTGCAATCTGATCATCTGACGTGAGACAAGTTCCAAGTAATAACTATTAACAGGTTCAGTCCTTGTTTAAGGAGAGTTTGAGAATCTCAAATAATTAATAAACTGAAATAATATGTTACATAATTCTTTAAATAAAGAAGATAAAATATTAATATACTTTAAGTATGATACATTATCCTTCGTTTTTCGTGAGATGAACTCCTAGGCCCGATGCTTGACGATGTACGAATGAGATACGCATGCGAAAATCTACAGTATACGTAACGTGAACTACACATTTTCGCATGTGTATCTCATTCGCATACTGTCAAGAATCGAGCCCCTGATCTGGGGATCGATTGTGTATCTTAAAACGGAGTGAAAATGACAAAAATGAGCAAATTTACTAGAATATTTGTAACTTCATTGGTCAATACCTAGTGAATTTGCTCACTTTTGTAATTTTCACTTCGTTTCGAGATACACAATCGATCCCCTGCTTTTGTGTTCATGAGACTGCAAAAGCAGAAGCAAGAGCAGACCATAGAATATTACAGTTATAGACGGGAGATTATACTATTCTCTCGGATCCAGATCTCACTCGCTCTACTCTCGTTATCGTAAGCGGGAACGGTGCACTTGGACACGGTGCATTTGGACACAGCCAATCACAGCACCGTGTGATTAGAGACATTTGTAGGGTCCCTTGGAACAGCGACTTGTGATTGCCCCGTGTCCAACTGATATACACCCATCGTATAAGCACCCGCTATACCATTCCCCAGATCGATAGTCACTAAAAAGTTTTGATCAGCCGTGTCCGTTTCTAGCTGATCATTTTTCATGACTGTTGATTCCGGCAAGCGGGAATGTGTCAAAATAGAAGTGACATTTTGACAGCTTGACGTTTCATACATACGTGTTTTTTTATCAGAAGTTTATCCGCTCACGTGTAACGCGCAATCAGTAGAAGAAAAGTAAGAATGTTAAAAAAGATAAGTATAGAAGTTTTTACTTTATTCGAATAAAGTAGAATGTTTACTGACTTGGTTTACATTGTGCACTTGATACGCGTACTAAATAGTAACTTTCTATTAGATAATCTTAATAATTAGATAATATCGACAATGCATATCAACAGCGACGCATTCTATCAATACGTTTTGTTGATGAGTATTATAGCTTAATATACCGTTGTTTATATATAAAGTGTAGTAAAAAGAAATTCATTATTTTTGCATGAAATTGAAGGCTTTATTTAGCATAGTTAGAATGATACGATTTAGATCAAATATGCACCGTTTTGTTCGATAACTTGTTGCCATTTTGAAGGTAATTCCATTATGCTTCTCTCATAGAAACCCTTGTCCCTATTGGCAAAAAACTGGAACAGCTTCTTTTGAGGCGAATTTTTCACCAGCAAAATCATTCGCCATAGACAGGAACAGGTGGTAATCACTTGGTGCCAGGTCCTATAAGGTGGATGCATAAGAACCTCCCAACCAAGCTCCCGGAGCTTCTGGCGAGTCACTATCGATGTGTGTGGCCTGGCGTTGTCCTCATGGAACACAATTCCTCTCCTATTGGCCAAAGCTGGCCGCTTCTGGGCGATTGATTCCTTCAGACGGTCCAATTGTTGACAGTACAGGTCCGAATTAAGAGTTTGGCCGTAGGGGAGCAACTCATAGTGGATGATTCCCTGCCAATCTCACCAAACACACAGCAAAGCCTTCCTGACCGTCAATCCTGGCTTGGCTACCGTTTGCGTCGACTCACCGCATTTCGATCACGACCTTTTTCGCTTGACGTTGTCGTAAGTGACTCACTTTTCATCACCAGTCACCATCCGCTGCAGAAATGGGTCGATTTTGTTGCGATTCAGCAGCGATTCGCAGATGGAAATTCGGTCCATGAGGTTTTT